ATTAAAGAATTTTCATAAAATCAGCCAAAAAACCAAGGTGCTGGTTTTAGGAAAACAATGGAGCTGCCTTTTTTTGGACACTGTTTTTACTTTAGTGGGCAGTAAATCGAAAATATCTCTATTCAGAATTTTCATTAGATTTGTTTTAATGACAAATAAATCTTTTTCATTTTTCGTCGTCAATAGTTTTTACTATTAATAAAGCCCAATGGGCTACAACCCAACAGAACAAAATGAGCATAACCGTACAACGCCAATGAACCTTTAACATCAAACACATCATATAACATACTCATAAAGCTTATTTGATGATGGATTGAGAGAAATAACCATAGATAGAGTCAAAGAGTCTAAATGTACAACAATGGTCTTAGCCTTAAATGATTTGCTTAAACCAAAAGGTGTCCCAGAGTCTACAACTTTTACATAAAAGGTGAGAGCTCATACCGAATAAAGGTTACTCATTAGGCTGGCGTGAAGGCTCGTAGCACGAGAGAAAACAGAAGCTCTATAGACACGAGAGCTTAAAAAAACTCAATCGGACACAAGGAAGACTCTGTTGGGTTCTTCTTCCTCGGATTTGGTTTCTCCGTCACAGCTTTAAACTCAGTGCATCAGAAGCCTAAAGTTTATGTCATCACTTACCAAGAAGTACTCGTATCCAAGAACTTGAGCTCGGTTTCGGAATTCCTCCATTTCTTGCTCCTGGACTTGGATCCCGACCAGCACGTTCGCGCCCGTCTCACCCTTTTTTTGAAAAGAAAGGAAGAGTGTACAGTAAGGAGCCTCAAAGTTACATGAGAGATTTTTTTTATGGTGAAAATTGGGAAACAAACCTGTGCACGATAATGGAAAAGGGTAATGTTCCACCGTGGACTGAAGGAGTCCAAGAAGTTCATCAGAGCACCAGGTCTCTCAGGGAAGGTGAATCGGCATAGAACCTCGTCTTCAACACTTGATCTTCCACCCATCTGATATTCATCAAGTGTGATTCACATATCAACCAATGAGAATGAGTCAGAAATGTGGTAATCCTGGAGGAGAAAATGAGCACAGACAGAAATCGATTTTAAGGATGTACCAAGTAACGCAGGTGATCTTTCACTAAGTCACTGGTTGTGAGATTGACAGTGGTGAGTTGAGATAATTCCATTCTCTTCACTAGTGCTTTGAGCTCTCCGGGTGTGTGCACCCCAACGCTAAAGAACAATACAAAAAATGCGGATAAGAAGATGAATAAATCACTCGGGAAACAAGGATTTTCAAGGAATGGTCGTACCTGTATAGTACAACAGCCTCATTTTCTGAGCCACATCTATATTTGAACTCGGTTATGTTTGTTGGTCCAACCTGCATCCATTAATGTATTGTATTACTGGATTAACTTATACATGCTATAATACCAAGCACACACCATTTCACAGAATTGCTTGAAGCTTCCAGGTTTTTCTGGCATAAGAGTAACAAGAACAGCCTCCTGTTGCCTACCGACATTAGCGAGCTCTGTCACAACCCTCAGCTTGTCAAAGTTCATGTTCGCACCACTGGTTATGGCTACAACATTCACATCCTTTAGGCCATAATATTTACAATATGCTTCAGCTCCAGCGAGCGCAAGAGCGCCTGCTGGTTCTAATATGTTCCGTTTCTCCTCAAACATATCCTGCAGAGACAAGTATATGATTTTTAATAATGCAATGTGCTATAAAACCATAGCTAAGCAATACGAATAAAGGATATACCATACCTTTATCGATGCACATATAGCATCACGAGTGACAAGAACAACACCATCCATCAATTTTCTACACATACGAAAAGTCTCTACGCCAACTTCTTTAACTGCCACACCATCTGCAAAACCCCCAACTTGGGTTAATATCACCCTCTCACCGTGATGCAGCGACAACGCCATTGCATTTGCATCAGCTGGTTCTACACCAATGATCTTCACCTGCAAAATCCAGAATCCACAAGAAAAAAAGGAGAATTTTTTCACAAGTAGCTATTAGTAATAAGAGCAGAGAGCAATGTGACATTGCCAAATCAATCACAATAAAAAAAAATAATACACATGTACCTCAGGAGAAACCCTCTTCACATAAGCAGCAATACCAGCTATCAAACCACCACCACCGACAGGCACAAATATAGCGTGTAACGGACCTTTAGCTTGCCGAGTGATCTCCATCCCGACAGTCCCTTGTCCAGCGATAACATCAGGGTGATCAAAAGGAGGTATAAACGTCAGACCCTCTTCTCCAGCTTGTTTCTTAGCATATGCTTGTGCTTCATCATACGAATCCCCAACAAGAACAACCGTGGCACCCAAATCCTCCACAGATTTCCACTGTACTCAATCACACAAGACCATCAGATACTAACTTCAGACAAAAACAATAATTCAAAAGATAAAAAAAAGAAGAAGCCTAAAGCAATAACCTTGATTTCCGGGGTTGTACGAGGCATAACAATCACGGCGGTGCATCCAAGTTTCCTAGCCGACAATGCAACTCCTTGAGCATGGTTTCCAGCTGAGGAACATATAACCCCTTTAGCCAATTGCTCTGGTGGAAGTTTCACCATCATATTGTAAGCTCCACGAAGCTTAAACGAGAATACCTGAAAACATGTTCAAGTCACCATCATAAACCACACACACACACACTCAATGACTCAAATGTAGCCTCAATTTCATACAGGAATCAGCAAAAATCAACCAAATGTATAATCTTAAACCCTTTAAACGTTTCGAAAATGCCAAAGAAACAGAGTGAAATGGGAATTGAGAAAAAGGAGAAGCTTACAGGTTGCAAGTCTTCTCTTTTAAGAAACATTTGAACACCTAATCTCTCCGACAACTTCTTCGCCAAGTGAAGTGGTGACTCAATCGCAATGTCGTAAACTTTCGTGGACAGTATATTCGTCAAATACTCCATAGCCTCAGCGATACTTCCATTCTCCGGCTCGCTCGAACGCTCAGGAACCGCACCGAGATAACCGGCCGGGTATTGCAGTGAATTCGGAGAGACTTTAAGACGTGGCAAAGGAGGAGGAGGCGGAAACGACGGAGCCATAGGTTCGTCTCCGGAGATAACAGCCACCGGAGAAACGTGATTCCGAGATCGACTGATTCCGAGAAAGGGTTTTGATCGGGGATCACAAGGAGGAAGTGGAAT